GCTAGTCTTATCAGAGATATCTTCTGATTTATTTCGTTGTGGACTCCAAACAGTTGTTCCTGTCCTGCGCCAGACATCAGTGTTTTTTCGGAGTCGCGGAGAACCTAACGGGTAACCGGGGCTCCGGCTACGGCTAAGGAACGGGGTGACGGGGGTAAAAATAAAAAATGACTTCAGTGTTTTGATTTAAATAAATAAACAAACAAAAATGTGATAAAGTTTCAGGATCAATTAGTGGTTTTTACATTCATCATCATCATCAACAGACTACAAACGCCTACTGTTGAGCAAAGCCTCTTTTCACACGGAGAAGGTTTCTTTCTAAATTGTTAACCAGCACGATTTTTTTTTATTTTGTGATAAAATACCCTTGTTTTTTATAAGTTTACATACGAGACTAAGGTTGACTGGTAGAGAATGCCATATGGCATTAAGTTCGCCTTATGTGCCATAATAAAATTATGTACATAAAAGAATAAATAAATAAATAAAAATACCAAAAATAAATATTATAGAGATACCTAAAGGATCCTCAAGTTACAACATCCCAACAATTTTCTATCATTTCCATAGGACATTGCTAATATCTCAGTGCAAAACATTCGTTGAATTCAAGCACTTTGTCACTTTTATACCGCTTAGAAACAAAAGCCGTTTGATCAATTCGAAACGTTACGCAAATGCCTTTCGTTCAAAGTAATTCCATTGTACTACCTGCTTCAATATTTTACAGATATTTAGGACATTCTATCATTGAATCAATCTCTTTTTGGGTGTAGAAGGAATTAGATAACGTCGCAATACTTTATGCTCCTGATTTCCAGGATTTTCATAATCATTATTGTAGCATCGTGCATTTTTTTTCTCTCCGAAGAGGTAGAATGAGGTGTATATAACACCTACCTATATGTTAAGTACCTTCCTATATAAATAATATAGAAAAAGGCTTGTGAACCCTTGTAAACACTTATAAAGCCTTTTTACCAATTTATTTTACAATTCATCTGGCTAGACCCTGCAAAGTTTTTATTATTATTTATTTATCTTTAAATCACTTAGATAAGTATGTTATAATTGCCCCATAAAACCGTTGCAATGGTTTGACTGTGGGGTCGAGTCACGAGGCATTACAAATAAATGTACTTCTTAATATTATACAGGAAACTTATCTAGAATTTAAGATATGTCTAAGTAATATGACTTTAATTTACGTTTAACCCTATTTGAATTGGTTTCACCGCTTACCTATGTCTGCCGGCAGACTATTCAATAGATACAGTATTCCCATATAATTAATTCTGATATCTTTGTTACGCAACCATAACCTAATTGTTATCTCAATTCAAAACTTCAAATCTAAAGATACTGTTACACATCTATAATACCATGCTAAAAAGCACTCTATTGAGCACGCTCAAAATTTTTAAAAAATCGAACGCCTGTCGATTCGCAAACACGCCCGGAATGAGCATGCTAATTTTCGAGCAACATTCCTACACACGTGCTAAGTGACAAGACTTTAATTCCAGCATGCTTTTATGCTTGAAATTAGCATGGGTAGCGCAGTACCTTCCTACTACATGATCAATGGCGATCTCGCCTCCACAATATCATTTAACTACTAACTCGTATCTACCTATGTAAGTCCATTTCTACGAAACCGTTCTTTAGTTAGCTATATGTTAGCTATACTACAGCTGACTACAATTAGTGCACTCTGTTCATGCGTGTGGACAAAGATGTTACAAAACAAAGGAAGGTACACAAAGCCATCCGCATATTGCAACCTTACTGTAATACTGTAGTCGCGGAGAACCTAACGGGTTACCGGGGCTCTGGCTCGAAGTGCAGGAGAAGGAACGGGATGGTTTTTAGTCAGTAAGAGTCTCACACTCGCTCCCGCCTCATACAGGCGGGAGCAGTTATTCGATGATTTTCCCCCTTAATAAAAACTGTAAGGACTGTAATACGTTGTAAAGAGTTAGCCTACATTATTTGGATACGAATCTGCTTCGTTAATCTGTGAAATACTTATATCCAATCACCGAGTTAAGTCAAGTAATTGCTGATTATAATTCTATGGTAGCAGTACCTAGACATTTTATTAAATTGTGCACAAATGCTTTAGCAAATCAGGAAATAAGACGCTTCATACTATTGGTAAAAAGCTATGCAATCCGCATGACGACCATTCAAATCAAATCTGCCGCTATATAATATATCCATTCACCTAATGCTAAAATATTTATTAAACACAAAATAATGACGTCACTATACACGAACTTGCCGTAGAACACAAAAGGCTGTTCTACATTCATCGCACAAAATACGCCAGAGCGTCATAGTAAATGAAGTTGCAATAATTCACCCCCGGTTACCGGATATGTGCCTTTCCTAGCCCGACTGCGGTCTTCCAACTAATCGCCCGATCGATCGCTTGACAAGTTGGGCAACTAAGCAAGGACCTCTCGCCGTTGGGAATTAGATAATTTAGATGCTTAACTAATCGTTAATTACTCGCTGGACTTTGTCAGTTTGTTTGTAATTTTTATTGCAGGGAAAGATTGAGATTAATTTATTTATTGTTCTTTATTAAAATATTTGGGACCTTGTTATAATGGCATCTTCGTCTAATGCTTAGACATTATTTTATATTTGTAATTCAAATTAATATTTTTATTCAATCAGACGCTCATATTTTTTTTAATTACACAGAAGATTATCTTTCCAATGATTATCTTTTCAGTCGATAAAATTAGTAGTAGCAAATGCAACACAATGAGGTTCTGATCAAATCTATTCAACAAAATCAACAATTCACAGATAACATTATGTTCCAATTATGTTCCACAGATAACATCTGGCTATTATTCCTTTTATGACGTCACAGTACAGAGTAGGGATCATTTGATTCGTAACACATGCATCGCCTGTTTACTTGTGGTAATCTAACTTAGGCCGTTTGCATGTTAGATACCGACTCGTGTAGCCGTGTTCATATCACACGTGTTTCTATAAGCTTGTGTTTGTGTTCAAGATTATCTTATTGTGTTCTGAGATTATGTGGTGATTATTTTATTAAATAAGTTAGGAGTTTAAATTGGTTTGATTTATTTTCGTTGAACAGCCTACTTGTAAGCTCGAGTTCATTTATCATTATTCTCTACTGTTTATGAAAAACTAATTCGATATCATAAATCGAATCAAATAATCGATTATCACAAATTTTCTGTAGTTAGGTACTTACTGTTAATTTCTCAAATACTTTTTTTTGTTATGGCAACAAACCTTACTCAATAGTCATAATAGTCATACATACCCTCGGTATACCTTACGCAGTTACTTAATCATTCATTCAACATTTGGGTACTCATGGAAAAATAAACTTACGAGTTACAACCTCCCTCCCTCGACGCTACGCCATTTACTACGCATTCGCTACGCCGTAGCACTGCTACGCCGTAACATTGAAAACTCCGCCCACAAAATGTTAGCGAACATTTCTCAGATTCCAATTACGACATTAATCGTAATTTTCCTCAATCATAACACAATAATGTTTTAAAATTCACGTAACTGAGAGTTGAACTCGACAAATGGCGATCTTTCTACTGAAATATATAAATGTTTAGGAGAAATATTTTGTAATGAACACTGATATATTTTTGTCTTGATTATAATAAAATTACCTATGTATCATATCATTATATGCATGTATCACCAAGTTACGTAGATAAAGTGTATGCGTATGGAAGGACACAAATAGAAGTATGGCTCGTGCGTTGCGACAAATATGTGGGTACAAATTCAATGATAAATTACGTTTCAACTAAGTAGGTAGCTGGTAGCTAAATAATGTAATGCTAATACTTTGTAGTTTTATTTGATTCAAATTAGGTTCCTACCGTACCTCTAAATAATAGAAGGAATATAATGTCACTTAGAAATGATTGAAGCTCCAAAATGTTAGTCGTTTATTTATGTGTGCGTGTGTAATAGGTTACCACGTTATCAGACTTAACCAAATGACAGAGTTCCTTCGTATCAATGTGTGTATGTTCTGCGTGTAAGTCTATAGTCCAGGTGCCACAGTCGTTGTATCAAGAGACTGTGTCCGCCTTTTTTTCAAACTCCTTATTCATTCTATGTCAGAGGTTAATAAAGCATATACATAAAGCCTGCATGTCCACGCCTAGACCACTAACAATGCAATAAAAAAAATTAAAATTATTGTCATTTAATTGTCATGATTAAGTCAGACAAACAATCCGTCAGAATTTGTTCCAAAGGATTCCATAAAAATTATCTAAAAAAGCATAAAAAATATACAAATTTCTTTGAAAGTGTTGTAATGATCGCTTGTATAAAATGAAGTACAAAAGAGGTGCGTCATCTACGTCTATATCTTCGGACTCGTACTGCTCGTCGGACACCGAATACACTTCGAAATCGCACAACCAGACGTACAGCAAAATCAAGTCAGGGCTTCGCAGGTCCAACCCCGCGGCTATAGTCCTGTGGGCCTTCCACAGCCTCCCGTCAAGGAATGGTCTCACTTCCCGAAGAGTGATCGGCTTCTTGAAGAAACACTACAAAGCGGTCGACGACCCAAAGAGAACAGGCAAGTCTATTGGGACCATCATGAGGTGTGCTGTTGACTTTGGCCTCTTACAAAAACGAGGAAATAGATATTACTTAGCTACAATCTCTCCTAAATACCGGTAATTGTTTGTGATGATGACTGATGTCCAATAAAAATTAACTTTTATTGTCACGCTATGTAATAAACAGAAAGATTAATATCAAAATCTGTCCGGTACTGTGCTTGCGATGTGTTTAAACAAATATATGATTTATTTATTATTAATTAATCGGAATCCTATCTGTTATGATATTTTTAAATATAAATACTATACAATAACGACTCTATTTATTAAACGATTTAATACGTTCGTTGTCAGCTACTTGCATAAGATCGGATGGCAATAAAACAAGTCAAATCAATAATAATAATATATTTCGCGTCACAAACTTGTATTTACATGATTGATTGCTTACTTAAAATATTAGTTAAGATACCAAACAACAATTCAAAACCATAAATACTTAATAGGTGTACTTATACTGATTTTATGCTACATACAGCGTTTAAAAAAAGCTTTGAAAAATAAAAACAAAACCAAAATGTGGGTGGAATGCTTACATACGACAACACCTAAGCAAACAGCCAATCTTTATAATTATTAATAGTAAACAGCTGTTTTAAACCGCAGTGCGGGGTGATAGTGGTAACAGCACATAGTACATATTTAACAGTGATACAACAATACTGTATTTACAACATGGGTAGGTAATGAACACTGTAATATCATTTTATAATTCATGCAGTCAAGTTTGGAAAACCTTTGATAAGGAAGGGAGAAAATCCAAAAAGGCATTTAAAAATCCTAATGGGACATTGGCTCAAATATTTGTTATGTTCGGATGTTGGTGGTTGGTGACCAATGCTGGGAGTTGACTTGACTGCACGCTACTAACAACTGGCTAGATAAATGAGTGTCTACAATATCGGCGCGGCGCCTAGAACAGCAGGTCCTCGTCGCCTTCGTCCAGCAAGTTGGCTGCGTTGGCCAAGTCCTGGCCGGCAAGCAGTGCCGCTTGTTTACGCTGGGGATAAATAAATAATACCATCGTTACCATCTCTATAGAAATACAACGCTTTTAAAGTTACAGTCTATCAAGCAACGGGTCAGGCGTCATGTTATTGAGACTTTCGATTATCCAAATTATATTATAGCGGAAGAGTTTGTTTTTTTTGTTTGTTTGAACGCGCTAATCTCCGTAACTACAAGCCTGATTTGAATAATTATTTTTGTGTTGGCTATCGGCTATAAAACATCATGCTACGAACAATAGGAGCTGAGCAGAGCGTGTGAAACCGCGCGGAAGTAGCTAGTTATAAAATAAAACTATAACAAATAGCATTAGGTTCACATTGTGGACCTATAAATGGTGAAAAATGGGTTTCAATTCAATTCATAAGCGCACTTTTGCCCATATCTTCGGAAAGCATAATGTAATCAGCCTATATCATTAACTTACCGCTTCCGCCTTATCCTTGATGATCTTCTTCTTGTCCTGGATCTTCTTCAGCCGGTAGAACTCCTCACGTTCCAACTCATCCAGCTCGGAGATGATGTAAGCGAGAGTACGCTCCAGTCGGGGAATGATTACTGTAACATTGTATTAACAATAAACTTTTGTTTAAATAAAGATTGTTCTAAACTATGCAACAACATAATATTCGGTTGCAACAACGACATCGCGCGACATTGCAAGCTGGCATGCATGATGACGCGCAGCTTATTTGGTTCGGTGCACAATGCATTTGAGCACCAATAATTGCAGAGTGGCGACATGGAACGAACTGTTTCCTGAACTGTAAACTAAAAGATGAAGGAATTATTTTTAACACCGCTGAGAGCCGAAGTCATGTGTAGAATATAGGCAATATTGCTAAAACGAAGCTTCGCATTAACTTTCGATTTGTAGAGTATTGTGAACAAGAACAATACATATATGTACGATATATATAAAAGAAAGTGTCGAATCAAATCAAAACATCAGAGAAGACCAAACCCTGAATAAAGAACAAATAAACAAATTACTTGTTCAAAATAGTCGTAGTAGCAACCAATCATTCAGCAAAGGGAATAAATTATAATGATGTAACAGTTGATTGGTTTCTGACCGAGTCTACTAGTGTTAGTAATTGAACTGTAGGTTTAGGGACAAAATGTGAGTTAATTTAATCAAATCAACCAAGACGTCATGTCTACAAATTCTTCTGGCAAGAAAGGAGAAACAATAAAAGGATGTCTTTGAAAAATCGCACTCATATTGACACTAGATCACAAGTTTAGTATTACATTAAGAACCGATAGGCATTTATAATGCTTTTTATGTTTCTTTTCTATTGTTTCAAATAAGGTGATGGAATTTCTTATGGAAGTCTGCTTATCTATACTAATATTATAAAGAGGAAAGATTTGTACCTATTTTTGTATGTTTATATGTTTGTAATGAATAGGCTCAAAAAGTACTGGGCCGATTTAAAAAATTCTTTCACCAATAGAATGCTACATTCTTCTAATTTGACATAGGCTACATTTCATTTTGAAAAAAAATAGGGATTCTTGGTAAAATTTGAACAAGGTAACCGAAGGTGTAAAAAAATTAGTCTTAAAATGTCTTTCGTCGAATGCGTTGCCGAAACTATTAGCGATAAAACAAAATAATGTACAACAATATTGAAGAACATCATAATGTCTACAAAAAACTCCGCGGTAGCATATGTCCAACTATTGTAGTTATGTCACTACAACAAGCCTTTCCAAAAATAAATAATTATCTACCCCGTGCGAAGCCGGGACGGGCTGCTAGTTACAGATAAAACTGTAACACTACAATCCAATCCAAACCTTATCAATTATGGAATAAAAACTTTTAAAAAGATAATGACTTATCAGTTATAATTGCAGTTACAGATCCAATTCTTTTTATCAGCTTTATACAAATATTGACAAAATGTAATCATGCCCTTTACAAACTTCAGCAATCAGATGCCTGCTCTTACTATTCCAATAACATGCTAAATGTTTGCAATAAAATTATAATTTCTTGGTTTATTCACTTTCCTGCAGTAATAACCTAGCCTGTTATTCCAGGTATCTATCTGTATTCTGTATGGCAAATGACATCCAGCTATGATATACCATTTAGGTGTGAAAGAATTACCAACATCAAAACTTACATGGGGTGGTTTTTAGTCAGTAAGAGTCTGACACTCCCTTCCGCCTCACCCAGGCGGGAGAAGTCATTCGATGATTTTCCCCCCTTAAAAAAAATATCCTTCCTATACCTTTAAGTTGATAAAAAAATAATGTCTGACTTACCATGCTCAATAGCATTAACACGTCTGTTGGTGATCTTAATCACCTCATCGAGGGTCACGAAAGAAGTCTGTAGCGAGGCCAACTCGACCAGCAGTTTGACAGCACTCTGGAAGTTCTTCTTCAGCTTGGTGAGCTGTTGACCACCTCGGGCCAGACCAGCCAGTTCATATGTGTCAGTACCATCAGTGTACGACTCGAAGATTGGGAGGGTCACACCTGGAAACAAGAATGGATCAATCACCTTCACAATACTTCTTGTAACCATGTTATTATTTTTCTAGAACTTAATGAGTCAAACACTAGATAGTTTTTTAGTTAATGTATAAATTAATTATGCCTACCCCATGGGAGACAGGCGTGGAGCTATATATGTATGTATGTAATTATGAACAAATTGATTCAATCCAATATGATTAAACTGAAAAACATCTAACTTACATAGTCTTATAAGATTTCATTACCTTTATAAAGGTTATTTCAGAATTAATAAGTTATGAATCAATTTAATTAACTTTAGCTACTGTTGCAAGGTAACTAACATGACAATTTCCATATAAAAAATCTAACAAATCAAAATAAATAACTAAAATGATTCTAATAAGAATTTCAATACTTCATAATAATACTATAAACATTAAGAAAAACAATAAATAGGTGATTAACTTGCAATTATAAAATAATCCTCCATCACATTATTATAAAAACAAATATGTAATCACAATCAGTTGAGTATCATTGTTAAATTCTTCATGAAATTCATAAGCAGGTGAAACCTGGGCAAGTAAGTTTTTATTTAGGTCAACTGACAAAGGAGGTCATATAATTATTGATCCTGCACTGGACGATTTCCAAATAAAAAAAAGATGGAGTACCCACCAGCAACATTGTCTTTCTTTGAGCGGATCTTGATTTGAGCCTTAGTGACATTTTGCAGCACAACCTGGTTGAAGTCTCCTGTTGTGAACTTAGCCTCGGCAAGAGAGAATGCAGCCTCTTTCATCACTTCACCCATAAGAGTTTTTGTCTGTAAACCAGATAGAACACAAATTAAGCAATTATGTAGGTATTGTAATCATCATAAACCCTTTACCTATTGGAACCTTATAATAATAGCACAGAGATAATTATTACAGAATCATACAAAAATCATGTGAGCACAAAATTTTACTCTATTCTATTTCATTATACTCTAAATTCTTTTTAATTATAATAATGAAGATAGGAAACGAGTAAGATAAAAGCAAAGTTGTAACACTTGTAAGTATAACAAGAAAACATAGACACTCACCTCGATAATTTTGCTCAAAATCATACGGAACCTCACTTGGAGGGCGTCAGCCTTCTTCTTCAAGAGACCATGGCCTTTCTGTGCTCCAGCCAAACGAGCCTTTATCAACATCTGAGCACTAAAACCAGGATAAATTATATTGTGATTCAAGCACTAATGCAACGCAAATGTTCAGCACATTAATAAATTAAGCACACTAAATTATTTTTCATAATACTTACCCCCGAGAAGGGAAAATCGCTAGCCTATCTTTTCCAGACATATTGATTTAGGAAAATATTTGGCGTTTTATCCCTTTTTCAGGATTTTTACTCCCAAACCTAGATCACCTGATGACAGAAGACAAGTGATAAAATATTGTCTATGAATGGTCTTGTGATCTCGCTCAATGGTAATGACAACTTTTCAGTGAACTTCAAATAATGATATCTTATTTAAATGTTTTTAAAGATATTTTCTGTAATTTATTATTCAATAATATTCATTATTAATAACTATTATTTATTGATTTGTATTTTACAAAAAAGATTTGAATCAATATAAAGCGCTGTTCACACGAAATGAAACAATCACAACCCTTTTTGTTGATTTTGACACCTGTCGTATTATGAAAATATTATTGTCGTTGTCTTGGTCTAGTTTGTCGTCATATTTTGTTATTTGAAAAATTATGCAGCTCAAACAAAAACAAATAGGTTTAAAAAATGTGCATTTAAAATGAACATTCACAGAGTTGTGCAAAAAAATTAATAGATCATCGTTATGTATTCCGGAATTCTTTTTTGAATCTCATTACGATGGTCGACTTGAGTTCAACAAGGTTGTGCAGAGTATGTCTTCAAGACGGAGCTATGCTACCGATATTTGAAAAATCCGAAAATGGAGGAAACATTCTCTCTAAACTATCTTTATGTATACAACATGAAAAAGTGGGTATAAAACTGCTACTCATATCAACCTCAAAATGATGTTTTTGCTAAAAAACTAACCTCTCGCGCGCCTCTTTTCAGATAGAAGACGTCGAAGGATTACCACGTCATATATGTACTATATGCAGTAATACATTAGATACTTTATGTGATTTTATTAATAAATTCAAGGAGTCGTGTAAAATATTAGAAAATGGTTTACTTACTGTTTTGAAGGAGGATTTAATTAGTTCTAATCAAGACCGTTTGACTGAAGTAGAAATAAATATAAAGAACATAAAGGCTGAGTCTGAAGACCACTATGATGATGGTTTCGATGATTATGAGGATTTATTGCCATTAAAATTACCAGATAAAATAAAACAGGAACCAATAAAAAAGAAATCTGTTAAGAAGAAACCTATAAAGACAGAACCAAAACCTCGAAAAGTAAATTCTCAAACTGGTACCAAAACAAACAAAATAGCTTCTTCTATCTTAGAAGGGAACTTTTTATGGAATGGAGATAAATGGTGGTAATACTCTGAAATTAATCATAAATTATCGTAATGTTTGGTAAATTAACTTGCTCATTCAATGCTATAAGATTCTTATTAACTTTCAAAAATCTAGGCAATTTGTAATATGTAATTTTATTTTGTTATAGTATAAAATCTGGGTCCCCAAAACTCAGCATAAAAGCCACCAGGGAATCCAAACAACCAAAGCCAAGGCATATTACAATTAAATTATCTAATGCTACAAAACCTACCACTGACAAACTATGTGACCTCTGTGGAAACGTGTTTAAAACAAACGACAAACTTTCTAACCATAAGAAAACTGTGCATTTTAAAAAGCCTATAAAATGCCCGAAGTGTCCAAAAATTTGTGACTCGGACTATTATTTACATAAACATATGAAGAGGAAGCATGAAACGAACAGAGAATTTATATGTGCAACATGTGGTCAAGGTTTTGCATTTAGAGGAGACCTAACAAGCCACACTAGAAATGTGCACGAGAAAATAAAACGTATGAAGGTGTATTCATGCAAATTCTGTGATAAAACCTACAAATGTGCTAAGTCTACTATTATTCATGAGAGATCTGTTCATACGGGTAAGCTATCGCTTCTTTTTTTACTAATATGCCTTGCTGCTGGAAAAAGTATGTTATTAAACTGTCAAACACCAAGCGGTCACCGGTGACCGCAACCTATTGTTCTATAATTGTGTCTATAATGACGGTACTCGACGAGTTAATATCTCATATTCCTTGAAGGGATAAGCACAGCTGCTGTACAATTTAAAATAAACAATATGTCTGTTTTTTATTTCTATTTAATTTTTATAAATCATATAATAATATATCATAACTTATCTTAGAATCTCATTAAAAAATAATTTTAAATAAATAATACTAATTTAAAAACAAACTTAAACAATTAATTGTATTTTAAAATTCACTTGATTACAGGACAAAGGCCAGCTGAATGTTCTGTGTGCAATACTAGTTTTTACCATGAAGATTATTTAAAAGAACATATGAGGTTACATACAGGAGAGACTCCGTTCAAATGTCCTATCTGTGGACGAGGATATGCCCAGAGAGGAAATATGAAGAGCCATCTCCGTATTCACAGGATATCAGAACTGGATGCTGTGACATTAAGCAAATTAAGACCAAATTACTTAAAACTGCTCAAAGTATGAGTGAGACCTTTACTTTTAATTCATCTAATTCTATTTTTAATGTCAAATTATTTTGTTAATGGGAGTTTGTGCAAGTTAGGGCGAGGCTACAATACTGTGTTGTGACTTGCAAAAATCTTTTAAGTTGTTCAATCAAGTGTGTTCATAAAATGCATCACAACTAGAAGGAATGGAAAGATTTTGTTTAATAAAAGATTTTTGCAATCTACCTTTTTTGGACCACACCTTCATACAACATACTTATATCGCTGTGCGCTGTTGTTTATATATTGTGGTGCACCAAAGTTGTGACCTCACTCTCTAGTTTTATAATTACTTAGTCTATTAAAGTTAATTAGGGAAAATGTTATGTGATTATAGTCAATGAGTTAGGAGTATTATAATTTGATATGAAACCGGACCAAGAGGACCATATCATTATTTTGTTTGTAAAGTTTAATAGATAGATTTAAATTCATATTATTATTATCTTGAATTGTACTATGTACAGCTGCCAGCACTTTAACCTACTCCAAACTTCAATTTTTTTAAATATTTTTTTTAAATTTTCGACCTTATTGCAATATGTTAAGGTTGAAAATACATAGTGACTTTATAGTCGTTAAGAAGTGTAATTTGTTTTGTTATCTATTTCAGTTTTTATAAGGAAATTGTTACGATTTTATTTCTCTATTGTCTTACATATTTCACAAAAAAGATTCTAAAATTTATTTACATTATTAATTCAACAGATCTTTAATTATTACTCAACATCATTCAATATGGGTGCTAATTGTTTTGTCATAATATAAAAAAGTGTTAACAATTTTGTGATAATTTCATCATAGTTGATGCATGCATGGCACATTGATTCTCTACTTGAATGACAAGATAAAAATATCTAAGTTACAAATATGTATAATAGACTAGATTAATATTATATTATATTAATGTTTAAAAGAAGTTCTATTTCTACTCTGTTATGCATAATAAGTAAAAAGATTGTTTTCTGTTAAAAGAGTAATATGATAAACATAATATTTGTTTTCATTTTCTTGAAAATATAATTTTCAATTATAATACTGAAGTGTTTTTGTACTATGTTTACACTGTTTTACAAAGCATTGTGATAACGAAATGTGCCACTTCTCGTTCTTTCTAAAAGCCTGAAAAAAAAACAAAGAATCATTTTAAAACAAATCAATAGGTTTTAAATATAAGGGTCAATCTCTCTTTATAATGATGCGTTATTTAGCAAATGCGACCCTCGCGAGGTACTCATAACATATTTCATAAAAAAAAGTTTAACAAGTAACTTACTCTTTCAAAGATAGGCATATTTCTTGAAAACATTTCAGCTTCTCTTCCTCAATACTAGTCAAATAATTGATTTTATTCATTTCAATTTCTTTCAGTCTTAATTCTTCTCCTTTTAGCTTCAGTTCCAGCGCTCTCAGTCTTAACTCTTCACCCTTCTGTTGAACTCTCTCCTTTTCTATTTTTAATGTTGTTCTTACTTTATATTCTTCTAATGACATCTTCCTCTTTTTGAATTTCTTTTCTGTAACCAAAAGCAACAGTTTGTTAAGATTATACAGTCCATTATTTGAAGGGCATTTGGCAATAGGCTCCTTGTAATTCCATTATAGTTAGGTATATCTGGTAAGTGATTATGCTAATGTTACCTTGATATTTGAGCTGCTCTTCAAAATCTGATGAATCTTCACCTGGATCTTCTTCTAACTTGTCATCTGCAAAAAAAAAATTATTGGGCACAATTCAAATTCAAGCTATCAGTATTCCAGCTGCCAGACTTATACAAATTTTCATTTACTTTACTTAAAAATTTTTATTACCTTCTAAAATATCACCAACATCGCAGAATTTGCTTTCTACTCCACTAAAGCAGTCCAACGTCTTCTCGTCATCTACATCATCCTCCGTGTTAGATTTATCCTTGTACATGTCTCCATCGCCATAGTCCTGCTTTAAGAATTCTGCTTGAAATTCTTCTGTTGGCTCTGATCCTTCTTTGCTTACAACCTGTAAAGTCCCAGTTTTGTCCTATGAGTATTCTGTAATTTTAGTACTTGAAAAATGTTGATATTTCCCATATAAGAAGGGACATGTCTAGGATTTGACCATAATAAGGCAATGGGATGATAAACCTATGGTTGACTGTCATAGTATGCCTTAACTGCTCAATCCCCAAGCGGTCACCAGTGACTGCTGTCCACTAACTCCATTATAGACCTTATTTCCAATGTTCAGAGACCACTTTTGTGTAACAATTTTCGTGTGATATAACGTGTTGAACAAATGTTTAATACATTGATATATTACACCGAAAATTTGTTCAGTATTAAGATTTTTTGGGAAGAATTTAAAAATAAATAAATAAAAGAACCATCTTGAACTCAGTGCAGGGACATCTGAATTGAAACTTACACTCTCTTTATTTTCTTTTACAGTTACACCACAGGTTCTTTCGTCTGATTGGAATCATCTATCCAATGTCCAAGTAGAGAAACAATCCTATTATTTTATTACCTACCATTTCCAAAGTGATAGCATCATTCTTATCTTCAAGAGGGAAGTTGATCATCTTTAGGAGTCTCAGCTCTAAATTTGTTAGAGTGGGTGTTGGTTGGTCTGTGTGGTGGTTCTTTCTGTTCAGCAATATATTTGCCTTCTTCTTTGTCTTGTTCTTCCAGTCTGCCCACATCTGCAATGTTGTAAATACTTCATTGTTATTTCTATCATTATTCTTCATTATTACATATCTCAACAAATATTAAAGTGAATCTGAATTTCCATTGATAATCATATCATTCTTATAAAAAAATATAAATTTGTAAGGTTAGACATATTTTTAGACCCTGCATCTACATTTAATTTCATATTTTATAATTTTTAATAGTAAAATAAGTTTCTTAATTGGTATCACAAAACGAAATCATTAATAAAATATAATGACATTTTTCAATGGGGAACACTTGGACAATGGCGGCATGAGGAGCGAGCTCACGGAACTGTACGGTTGTGTAAGCTATACTCAGTTGGAAATAATAACCTAAAGAAATAAATATTGTTTGTCTGCTGGAGATCTTGGTGTTTTCTTTGCAGAGGAGTCTTATAAATTAAATTCAAGACCTGTGCAACTGGGATGGGCATCAACAGCGAGGGTAGACTACTAGTTTACTTTTATAAATAAAAAAAATACATTTAATTTTTTGGAAGGCATTGGAGGTTTTATTAAATTATGAGAACTAGGTAACTAAATCAAGCCATTAAGATTAGATACATGTACACCGATGAAACTAAATAAATATTATATTCAATTTATTTAAAAAAATATATATATCTTACTTTTGCCCATTTCCAAGTGTTCTTATAAACTCCTCCCTCAACCGCGTTCAGCTGTACAGCGATGCGTTTCCAAAAGTTTTGCTTATTAGTTTTAGTATACATCACTCTGCCATCGACTAATACACCATTTTCACTCAGAAGATCCAGCAATTTCTTCATCTGAACTTGACTTACACGACTCATATTGAGGCCTTAATAATTTTGTGTAAGTAAATGATATACTTAAGTACTCATGGATGTAGCAGTAGGGCTTACAATAAACTACCCTAAACCTTACCGGAGGTGATTTTAAATCAATGAAATCAATTCATAATTAACAAATACTATTTTCTTCCGGTTTTATATTGGCTCCAACAACAACAACAATAGATTTTATTGATATTTAATGAGTAAGACAGATATATAATTTTATCGTGCTAGCGACAAAGACAGCCTAATAGAAGGCTATCACATCGTTACCGTGATTTGGAACGCAGTTGCCAATCTCAATCCGTCAAAATCTTTGTCAAATTGACATCGAACTTCCTACAGTACCATAGATTTAGTATTATATAGATGCGCCGTAATGATCTATAGCTTATTTGCTTATACAAATATATATCACATCGATATAGAAATATGAAACCACACTTTGTCCCTTTTTAATCAATGAGTAACCTCATTTGAAGAAAGAGACGTCATGTTGTTTGTTTATTCTCTGCCTGGCAACATTTCTACATTTCTGACAAGGTACCTACCTCGCGTGCCAGCCGCCATCTTTAGGCCGTATAGTTATGTAGTACGTCAGGTGTCAAGCGAACAACAACATTGGATTTGGATTGCGATTTTTATCAATAAAAACGCTCTTAACTAAATTGTTTTGTGCTGTAAGTGTCTGGTGGTGCATATTCAATATGTGTACTAGTTCAATAATTTAGTGTGGGGCAAGGAAAAACCCCAATCAACCTCATTTGACTATGCACAGGTTAGTAGCCGTATTTTAAGAAAAACTTTATCATACTATTAGTTTTCTTGTTTATCTAGCCTTGTTTTATATCTATACATATAATAAAATTGTAGAAAAGTGCTGTCTGTACATTGAAAATAAAAATAAAAAAAATAGCAGGGGCTATTGTTATGTCGATGTCGAACCCAAAAATGTAACTAACTTTTTTTT